AAATGCTAATTCAATGGCTGTTAGGAAATTAGAATCAGAGAATATTGGTATTTTTAGCGCATTCCAGTCACTAATAGAATTCGGAAAGAAAGAGTATTTAAGGACATTCAATCGACAGGCATATTCTCTAATTTTATATAAGTGATCTTTCCGTTCGGACATATAACTAGGCGTCTTTAATGTAGGTTTGTTATCCCTTGGACAAGGCGTGTGAGCTGTTTTATTTCCTAAACTGCGCTACTGGGCAGCACGCCGGCCCACCGCGTGTGAAAGTCATGCCGCTGACAGTCTCTTCGCTTCCGTAATGGCCACTGCGTCGTTTGCGTGCGTTCGCACATCTTCGGCTCTTATCGCGGTCTGCACTTGCATATCTTGCTTATGCGAGGCGTCTCGCGTCGTAAGGTTGTCACCACTTCGCGCTCAGCCGTGTTAGCCCTTCGCCGCTTGATAAAAATATGAACGACCGAGGCTAGGCGTGATAACGGATGCCGACGACGAGGCAATTTCATTCGGCATTTTTTATTCGCTGTTTATTGTCGCACTTGCCGGATTACTTTAAGCTATTGACACCGTCTAATTGCTTCTAAGGTTTCGTTTAAAGTACACCGAGTTTCACCAGCTTTAACTTGTTTGTTATGCAAACCATTCTGTTAGATGTCTTAGATGCTGCTTAAAGAAGTGGCGTTCAAGTCAGAGCAAAGAAGAAACAATTTCCGGAGCTTAAGTTGGGTAAAATATATCTTGCCCTGCACGCTACGACATTTGGTTATCATGGCGAGAACCATGAAGTTAGAGACTTGCGTTGAATGTAACCGACTCTAGGGATTGATCGTATATAGACTTGCCGTCAATTAGTTGAACACTGAGCAAATAATTGCGCAACTGGCGAACTGCCAGAACGACTAAGGCGCTTTTCGGGTTTTGTGTTCGCAATCCTTTTACATTGCTAGAGGAAAAAATAAATCTTGCAGAGCTGTTTGGAGTTGGGCTTAGCGTCAGGCCACGATCCGAGGATTAACCGTTATCGGCGACGGACAGGACAGTGGTGCGGGACTTGCGAAATTAAGCCGTTTGTTCGCTTGGCACACTTGGATCGCTAGGCCCACTCGAAACTATATAATTAAACGATGATTACTATACTGTGCCCTAGCAAAAATTTCTGCAGGGCTAGTTGGCGCATGCACGCTTACTAAAATGCAAGAAAATCGCGAAACCACAAAGAAGAACTTAGGATAGAAAAGAAAAAAAAAGTCAGATCTCTTTAAATCAGATCTCTTTAAAATGTGGTCACTTTAAAATCAGCACAACGTTACGGGGCGGACGTAAATTATACTGCACACAACTTACATGTCATGATTATCATGTTTGGGCGTGCCATTTGCCTTCGTCGTCTATTCACGTCACGTGACACCGACTTTGTATTTCAGTGAATATACCGTACTCCCTGAACGAATTTGTATACATTGGTCTTGGTGTTTCTGTGTGTGCCACATATCTCCCTTTCTTGTGGTTTATGTGTTATTCCCAGCTGGACTCCGCGAGCTAACCAGTGCCACTCACAGTCACTATGGAGTGTTAGCAGTGAAATTTTGTCATTCACAGTCATGACACAGCCAATCATTATCAGCTATCTAGTTGTTGGGGATTAATTTACAGTCACATTAACGAATGACCATTACACGCTTAATCATGCTTACATAATTAAGAAAACGGCGTGACAGAAGACCTAGATGAGAAGTTCACTCAGTCGCTTATGCATGCACTGAAATTGACTGCGTCGCCTGTGCTGATCATCCCTCCCTCGCCAGGCCACGGAAACTCATCGCTAGTATTGAGTTCAAATAACGTTAACGCTCGTAGCGGTTGCCGGGCATCCTAGATCCGGTTGAACGGAGTGAGGTTGATGTCAACGTTCGCATTTATTGGATTCCACAAGTTTCTACAAATAAAGAAAAAATCGATACCCATGTAAAGAAGTTTCTGTTTATATCTCTTGCTTATTCCGCGAACTTTAATCAGGCGAAACGCGCGAAGTGGTTGAATATGCGTTCGTAACGTCTGCCTCCTCTCCTTCTCGCCCCTCGCTCAGCGATATTAGTAGAAGTTGGATCGCGCTGAGTTATCTCGTTCGATTGGCGTGTCAAATACGAGAAAGATAAAGACTGCAAGTTGTGGCGAGCAGAGAAGGGAAGCCGCAGTGAGCTACGCCGTACAAGGCAACCATGCACGCATTCGTCCGAAAATCGCTTAATTGGGCAACACATGTTTTCCACGGATCATCGGTGTGCTAACCCTGTAGGATTTGTTGTCTCGCGAAGGTTTTTCAGTGTTTCCAAAGGCCAATCGGTGAGCACAAAAATTTGGACCCATTATTTGAGCAGTTATTGATTTTGCATATGAGTAAACCCAGTTCTCTGCAAGCCTCACTGGACTGGCAGAAGTGCAGTGTCGCTTGACTAATTGGTGAAGACGCAGCCAAGGCTCCTGTCGAGAAAATGCGTTTGTTGAAAGCCTTGAACTTGAGTTGGCTCGGCTACAGTAGTCTTGGTTTCTTTTACTTTCTGCGTGTAGTTCAAATGATGTCAAGTAATTATAGGCTTCTTTCTACTCATAAAATCCTTGTAGCCATGGTTTCGAATTTTGTGAGCCTTTACTTCTAATAGTGCCACTAAAATATACGTGATGGACTAAATACTTCTAAAAATTATTACAGAGAACGTCGAGTTGACTTTTCTTCGTCGAGGCAACGCTGTTGCCCTGACGAAGACAAGTCAACTTGCCGGAACACTGTTTACAACGACGTTCTTTTTCAAAAACTCCTGATCGCTTCAAGCCTTTCCATGCCTCTGGACTTCAGTCTTGTTTGATACTCAATTTATCCCGGAAAGTTATGCGCGGCCATAACAAACGGGATTGAGTCAAATACGACGTGTCCTACTCGCGATTGTTGATAATTTTTGCAATGGTTCGCATATTCTGGGTTCAACGTTTGCTCATTATGTCCATATGTCAGTTGGAAGTTGAAGCTGCTTTTATAGATTCACACTCTCACACTACGTGTATAATTATTTATTTATTTTATTTTTCATTTAACAATACTGTCAACTCTCATGCGAGAGTCCTTACAGAGAGGGTAACATAACAAAACATTATAGCAAAAAGAACATTATTAGCAAACACACAAATACAGGATGGACCAAGATCAAACGCTACAATTGTAGAGATAATCATCCAAGGTCTGTTCAAATTTCGACAAAGTGTTCTGGTCAACAACACTCACCGGCAATTCATTCCACATTTCAATTGTATTAGGAAAAAAGGAGTATTTGAAACTATCCGTAAGAGTCCTGTACGTTTGAATGACCCTGTTGTGGTTGTTTCTTGAGCTCTTTTTACAAATAATATGTCTGTTCTTTGTACAAAACATGCAATAAAATATTCATTTTATTTGTGCCGATCGAGTTTCGTCTTACTGAGAAATCAGTCAGCTTAACTTTTGCCTCTTCAGAAAACACGAACAAAATTTAGGAAAAAATATATAAATTTTTTAACGAATGACCGCATTGCTTAAGCGGCCAGCGGACTGGAAAAAAAAGGCACGAATGCATTCCGCTTGCATGCGAAGTGGGAAAGGAGGGCTTCCTCCTTTACCACTTCCTCCTCTCGATTTTTCGTCCTTGCCCTCTATTTGAGGACGTCACCAGTGACGTCAGGAAAGAAATTTTCTGTTCGCGATTTATTTCTAGTAGGATGCCCGGCAACCGCCAGTGGTAAAAGCCGCTGCCGAGAGCGAATACACGAGAGGCATAGGAAGTTTTTGTTCACTGCCCCCCCCCTCCCCCCCCAAAAAAAAGAAGAAAAAGCTTTCTGCACTTGCATCTCACATAACTTTTCCGCTGTCTCCGGAAGCCTTTGAGCAAGCGAAGATGTCGGGCGTTGACGTCATTATGACACCGTCATGTCGTCACGATCTTGTCAAATGTTCTGAATATCTGCGGCGCTATAATGACTTAATGGTGCATGTGAGGTCACGCGATTTTCCGTCGGCTCTGTGCACGTCAGTATCCCGCGAATTTTGATTGACGTTTGTTACGTGGTTGTTATTATTTATTCTTCTCTCATTCGTACTGACGCCGCCGCCGCGCAAGGTCTCGTGACGTATCGTTTAGTCTCGTCAAATCTCGAGTTTCTTGACCTTATCAGACATATAAGGATTTCACCCTAAATGAGTACTGCTTACGGAGTGGGCGGGGGGGGGGTAGATAAGACGGCTAGTTGGTTATTAGCCAGCTGGCCTGTTGTTCGGTTAGTCAGTCTCGCAAGAGATTAGGATGGCAACGGGGGGCTGTCGGTATCGGATTCTACTCGAAGCGCAGGCAAAAGACAGACACAACAAAACATGGCGCACTTCCATAGCCGCGCTGTGTCCCGGGGGTGCGTTTGTCCTGTTTTAAGGGGAATACCCTTTATTACAACCCCAAACAGTCACACCCATTCGCGCGTCGCAGTTTCCCCTATCTTAAAAAGAGTACTGCCCAACGCCATTAAGCGCTCTAACCGATAGCCACCCTACTCGACCTGATATCGGTGTCGCTACCCGCTCTCCTGGCTCGCTTGCATTGCGCGCGAACAGCTCTTCTCTCGCGCGCCGCCTTCTCTCTCATCGCCCTCGAGAGCTCTGCCATGGGAGTAAGTAATCCAGGCTCTCTGCCAGTTAGTTACGTAAACTCCCCCGTCGTGATCAAGATTGCGATTCGGATCCATTACACCATAAAGGCCCCATAGTGTGATTAATAAATATAATAGTGCGAATTAATAAATACCCCTCATAGCATCACCCCGTGTATTCGCACTTAACCATGTTCACCCTCGGGGAAATGCTTGGGAGTTTTATTTAGCCTGCGTGCTACTGTATACTGCTATGGGAGCACGTGAGCGACCGAGCGAGTGCTGTATGGACCGGAGTGCATGTACACGATTCTCTCTCTCTCCCTTCGCAGGACCGGTGCCGACTATGCCTACATCATGGAGGCGTTCGGACCTTTCGTCGCTTTCCTGCGTCTCTGGGTGGAGTGCATGATCGTGCGTCCCTGTTCGCAGGCCATCGTGGCCCTCACCTTCTCCTTCTACGTGCTGCGGCCGATATTCCCCGACTGCGATCCTCCGGACCCGGCGGTCAGGGCTCTCGCCTTTGTCTGCATCGGTGAGTGCGTGCTACTGCTGAGGCCCGAGTCGCTCGCTTATTGAATGCGTGGAAGGCACACACGACACGCTAAACTTCCAGACACAGAGGTTGCGCGCTGTAAAGCCACGTACACTTGTATAGAAGAATTGTGCTTCTTCTACAGCTTTTTGTCTGTGCGAAAGAATCCTTATCAATATCGCTATCTCATATCAACTGTGTACCTGATACAGCCCGCCCCTCAAGGAGCCTACGTATGTCTTATTTGTGCAACAAGTGTAAGACGCCAACGTCTCTTGTGCACAACATTTCATTACGCTGTCGCAGAGATACAAGAACAACGTCAACACTGCGAGATTGTGGCGTTTATACGCATCGTTGAAATACCTGGTAGCTCTTTAGAACAAAAAGATAATGCGCTGGTTGATAGAACATAATTTAGGTTCTAGCGCTGAGAACCACGTGGACACTTTAGCGCTGCGTCCCGTCCTGCTTTCGCTGGCCATGTGATTATTTGTGCTACTGCCTGAATTATCTGGCTGTTCAGCGCTCATATCAGTCACATCGCGAACGACTGCTTAGATAACGTCACGCGAGTTATGTAGCCTATTTTTTTTTTTTTTTGCTGCCAGTAACCCTGTAGCATCGGCTTCCCTCGAACTTGGTACAAGTACCTTTTTAGGATCGAAACACTCGACTCCCAGAGGTCGAGGCCACTTTTGGTCTCTCAAGCCTTTCAGACGGGACGCTTCGTGCCGCAAACACGGTAGCCTTGCCAAAGGCCGACTGTTTGCTCCAGTTCAAGTGGCCTACACTCGAAGCGATATATACATACATAGCGCCTCGCACTCCTCCCCGTTTGCTCTCCCGTTTGGGCGAAGGTCTCGTTGTAACGGAGTTGTTCGTTGTTATCGTACGCTAACCTCTGTCGGCATACGCGGTCCCCGCATAGCGTTTCCCCTTAATGCGACCGTGTTTACCACTAGTGGGCTCGTTCTCTCTCTCGGAAAATGGCGCTTCTATAGCGTTCGCGCCGAGAGCGATATCGGCGCTACTTGAGGCGCTTAAGAGCGGCGTGGCAGTTTCGCGAGCGCTGTTCGCCTCGGAAGGTTGCGGTCTCGGGACACAGCAGGATGCTGTGAACGCTACAATAAAAGAAAAGAAAAGAGTACCGGTAAGTTACTCTTTCCGACGAGCACTATACGTGCCACATATATGATTCTTCATAGACACGTTCACACTCCTGTGGGTCATACGACTTTTAAGAGAGAGTACAACGACTTCCCCCCAAAGAGAGAATTCTTGTGATTTATGTGTGTGCCGTGTCTACTTTCTGCGCTGGCCAGTTTAATAATGGAATACCAACTGGCCAGATACCTCACTTTGCACTGGACTTTACCCCAAAGAGAGATGGCGTGCCTTTTCCAGGAGAGTCATAGTATACGTGATGAGGCAGGACTTTTTTTTATGCTAGGCATGTATCGGTAAGTTTTGGCTGGTTCAATGAGTGATTTCATGATTCAGTTAGGGAATGAAATGATAAATGATTATGTAATCGAAAGAGGTGCGATTGATAAGTGATTAAGTGATCGAATGGTATGTGATAAAGTGACTGGTACAGTTAGGAAGAAAGGAACCAAAAAAGCAATGAATGAAGAAAGGAATAAGTGAGGCGTATAATTGAAGAATGAATGAATGAATGAATGAAGAAAGAAGCGAGAGACATGAAAGAAGGAAGGAAGGAAGGAAGGAAGGAAGGAAGGAAGGAAGGAAGGAAGGAAAATGAAAAGTCAGCAGCTGTTGCTTCAAGGATTGAGAGCAGTGCAACAACAAGCACAGAAGGGAAAATCGTGGCCGCATTCGGTTTCGCGCCTGTGGGCGCCTTGCAAGGCTACACGCCGTGGCTTGCGGACAATTGAGGGGTAGTTACGTCTAATTGCGCCGCTCCCCTTCTCCAGCCTCCCCTTTGCTTTACAACATACCTGCTTCAAGTGGTGTCCGATTTCAAACGTATGTACCTGCCCGCCCACAGCCTCAGGCGGTACGCATTCACGTTAACCCTCGAAGAATATGTAATACGAGCCACTACCTCCATGCATGTGCGTGTATGTAAACTGCGAACCGTAGGCGTGGTTGAGAATGCGAGGGTCCATTGCTGTTGAGCCCTTTTTCGAGCTCAAGCGCAGTACTTACTCGCCTCTTTAGCTGCACGTCGTTCATTTTCTTTTGATAGCAATGTCTTCGTGAAAGTCCTTAATCGACGTAGCGCGTTGTAGAAACATAGGACAAGTGAAGGGACAGAAGGGAGCGCTTACTTCCAACAAAACTTTATTTCGAGGAGCGTACATATATGTGCTCATGAAATTCGAAAACAGCAGACAAACAGATGAAAGAACCCTCTATTGCCATGCGCTAAAAACTTATGATCTCAAAAACGACAATTCTTTATCACAAAGACCTCTAGTCAATTATACTCGTGAAAGTCGTCCACCCTCATTTCTGCAACTGGCGACAACATACGTTCGGGTCCGAGGTGAAGGCTTGGAGGCAGTCGTAAATGCCGAGCAACGAGACATTTTCGAAGCTGAAACTGCCACAGCATTGTTGCGACAAAGCCTCGTATTAGCCTGTACGGCAGTGGCTACGTAAGGCATTGTCGCACAGCAAGCACTAAAACGTGAAATGCACTCAATAACTTATCAGTATTTACACGTTCAGGGACATGGTTTTAACGCTCAAAACAAAGATGTGCTTACAAGTGCACAATTATACTTCGTCTGTGCAAAAAAACTCTACATAGTTGAAGAAGTGCGAAAGGTTAGATGAGCGATCGTCTTTGACCCGCGTGACATTTGAAAAGAAAACAATGAAAAATCAGAAAAAAGAACGAAAAAAAAAACTTGACACCGGAATGGGCCCGTGACAGTTAAAAATAAAAAAATAAAAAAACTGAAAAAGAACGAAAGAAGCTTGATGGCGAAATTCGTCTCCCATCGTTTCAATTCAATTCCGTTTCGTCTTACGTGATGGAAAATTCGCAACAAATGTTGTAATCTCCCATGCAGAGGAGGCTGGGGTTATAGCAGAGAAAATACGACATACACACCTAAGCCCACACGCACGTAGGCACACAAAACGTTAGATAATTGCGGCGCCTTGCGCTTTGAACTACGGCGCCGCGGTGCGCGCGATTGCGTATCATCGACGCCGCTACTCGACACGATAGCGGTGATTACGTTCGCCTTGGGAATCGAATCCGCGCTCTGCGACGGAAGTTTTACGGGATCTGTCAATCATTTGGGAAAGTCGAATTTTTCCCCAACTGTTTTTTTTTCTAAGGATTTTTTTTCCTAACGCTCATTCGAAATGACCGCGCCGTTGTACGCTAAAAGGAAAAAAAAATAAGTCATTTCACTCTCATCTTTTTGAGAGACAATATTTGCCACGCGTGTGATTCTGTTTAAACGAGACAGGCGAACGTTCTTCGGATATCATACGCACTCTTGATTGATTGATTCACATATAACGCTTAACATCCCGAAACCACCATATGATTATGAGGAGCCGTAGTGGAGGGCTCCGGAAATTTCGACCACCTCGGTTTATTTCACGTGCACCCAAATCTGAGCACATGGGCCTACAACATTTCTGCCTCCATCGAAAATGCAGTCTATGCAGCCGGGTTTCGACCCCGGGACCTGTGGGTCAGCAGACGAGTGCCCTAGACACTATAAACCACCATGGCGGGGCAACAAACGAAAGTGCCTTATATTCTCATATATGACAGTACTTATAAACCATCTCTGCTCCTGTGGGACCTTTATACAAATGGAAAATGGTAATGCACATGTTTACGTGTCACATGATGGTATTGAATAGTGACGGGTACCCGTAAATGGTCTGCGGCCAGCCGCTTGCACAGATAATATTATTGCATGTGTGTGTGTGTGTGTGTGTGTGTGTGTGTGTGTGTGTGTGTGTGTGTGCGTGTGTGTGTGTGTGTGTGTGTGTGTAAAACGCTGTAAAACAGCAGCACCGAACGCACATGTGTATTGTCACGGGTTGAAAGTAGGCAGAGGGTGGAAATATATTTACAGACTACTGTAAATATATTTACACTGTGTACACGGAGTACACAGTGTCCTTGAACCAAGATGGCGGAGTGGCAACAACACGAGCTTTTGTTCAATCGTTACCTTCGTCGCCTTTATAACGCATTCGTTGATGGTAATGATGACTTGTATCAATGTTATGTTTTCTCAAATTTATTACACTTGCATCGTCGAAGTGAAAAGGGGTGAACCTGTTGCCAGAGATATTCACAGTTACTACGGTAGCTTAGTTACTTTTTTTTGATAAAAAAGACATTGTCTTCACTTCACGTCACTCGAATGATTGTGATGTCTAGCAACTTTTTTTTCTCCTGGAACAAACTGCTTTTACTTGAAGTTCTACCTTCATTTCGAACGCATTCAACTTTCATATCACGTTTCGATAAAATGAGGAAGACAGAGAGGAAAGAAAAAAACAACAACTCTATTGTTAACAAGACAGACTGAACGACCGGCTGAAGAAACAGGCTCAATAGAACAAAACGAAATTCCAGTACTAAAAATGAAGGAGGGAGGCGGGAAGTGGACTGGAGATTACAAAGTATGACGTCGCGAAGCCCGGCGCAGCCGATGGTGGTGCCACTTTCGATTAACGCCTGTTCTATTGGCTGCCCTGCCATGACGGCCCCCGTCAAGGCGACCCGAGGATCAAAGCGTTTGATGATTCTGACCTCGATGGTTTCCCGTTCACTCCGTCTATTTTGAACACGGGGTCGCGCTGTCTGGGTGACGGTGTGGACAGCGAGATTTGGAGGGACACCGCTCCTTCAAGATGACCGTGCCGTTGTATGCTAAAAGGAACAAAGAATAAGTCCTTTTACTTTTTTCTTTTTGAAAGACAAAATTTGCCTCGCATATAATTCTGTTCAAAAGAGACTGGTGAACGTTCTTCAGAGATCATACTCACTC